TTGACACTAAATGTTTTCAAACTCTCACTAAACCCCAAAAAAACTTGGCAGAAAACTTTAAAATTAACATTGTTAGTTCAAGTGTGGTCAAATGATCAAAATTTAGGCAGAAGCACCCAAATTAGTTTTTAATTTATTCACTTATCCCCAAATAACTTCTAGTAGAAAACCTCTAATGACCGCTATTTATTATTTTTAGAATTTTGTATGTATTTTTTTGAATTTTGCGGATGTCATTTGTAATTTCTGTATTTTAAAAGAGGATTTATTTAATTTTTTGTTTAAGGAAGGATCTATTTGTATTCAAAAATTTTAAGAACTTCTTTGTAATTTTTGAATTTTTAGGATATGCTTAAAGTTTTTTGATTTTCTTGAGTGATTTTCAAAATTTTAGATTTTTTATGGGTTGTTTGTATTTTTCTGTAGTTTTTAGGAATCTGTTTGTAGTTTTTTTATTTTTTAAGAGGGTTGTTTATAATTTTTAGAATTGAAAAGGAGTTGTTTGTGATTTTTAGAATTTGCAGAGATTGTTTGTAGTTGCATATGTTTTAGAGACCTAATTGTAATTTTTGTATCTTTCAAGAGTTAATGTGTATTTTATAGGTTATTCTGCAAATAAGAATGATTTGAAATGTATATATTGGCCTTAAGAAGTAATGTTCATCAGCGTATTCTATAGTAATATCCTTATGCGATTAAGTGCAAAAAATCAAAGTGTTCTTTGGAGTTTTCTAGAATTCCTAAACTTATTGGGGGTTTAAAAATTTTTGGGAGCTTGATGTCAAAATACTAAACTTATTGGAGATTCAATAAAATTTATCCTTTAAAAAATTAAGGAGGGTCACCCTGCGACTTTTTGAAATGTATAGCTAATAGTAAACCACTAACCCTTCTTTATATATAAAATAGAAGAGAATTTAAAATATGATTATTATATTTTTTTTATAAATTATAGATAATTATGATTTGATTAGGAATATCAAATACTTAACTATAACTAGAATTTTTTAATTATGGATAGATTTAATTTAATGTGGATTCTTAGGTGAATAAAGTATTTAGTTGCCCAAGTGTCACCTTCTCACATGACACTTTTTTCCCCTCTTTAAAAATACCATCAATTTTTCATTTTATATATAAAATGAAGGGATTCAAGTCTAATTTCAAGTAATTTAAGTGATTTAGCCAGGAAGCTTTGTGGATTTTTATTTTATTTTATTTATTTTTATTTCATTTTTATTTCTTTCTCTCTTTTCTTTTGGAACCCGATTGTCAATCATGATTATAATGTACATAATTCAATTCAAACCATTCAATTAGAATAAGTATAGCGTACATCGAGTTTATAATGTTTACATATAGCACAAATCATCTCAAAGTTAATGAATGGGGTTAGTATAAAAATAGATGACTATACAATTCATAAAAAAAAGTAAGATTATAAATTTGTCTCGGTTCAAAAATGAAGTTTGGAACTTTCTCAAACATTGATATTTCTCAAAATTAATGAACGGGGTTAGTATAAAAATAGATGACTATACACTTCATAAGAAGAAGTAAGAAAATAAATTTGTCTCGGTTCAAAAATGAAGTTTGGAACTTTCTCAAACATTGATATTTCTTTTCGGAGTTAACAAGGCTTAATTTGGCTCATCTGGAGTTAATATCAAATAAAGGCTAATTTGGGGATCTTATGTCAGAGAAGCTCAAGAGAATTCCACCGCGACTTTAGCCTATATATATTCCATTCCGATGATAATTGTTTTAATTACTAATGTTAATAAATGTCACGACGCAAATTTAATATGAGAGGTTAGTTAGACAAGGTCCAAAATTCATGATTAAATTGGGTTCCGTTCCATGAATAGAATATTGTTTACAGTAAATCCAACTGTTACATTTCTGTGATGTGTTTAATTTTTATTATTCCGTCAGTTTTAAAACATTTTAAATAAATTTGATTAGTTGTTTATGTATTATGATCAGTTGTTTTTTATTTATTCTGATTCTGAATTGTTGTTGTGCCCACTGTACTTTGTTGAATCTCTATTCTCAACCTATACTTTCATGAATTGTTATAGTAGACGTATACTATTAAGGAATTGCAACCAGACCAGACCGGACCAGACGACACGAGACGAGACGAGTCCAGACGAGACGACACCCCTTGTGTCGACACGAAAGGCGGTCTTAGTCTACATGCCCTACGGTGTCAGTCGACACGCTCTAACGAGACCAAACGAGACGAGTCTAGACGAGACGACACACATTGTGTCGACACGAAAGGCGGTCTTAGTCGACACGTCCTATGGTGTCAGTCGACACGCTCTGACGACACCAAACCAGACGAGACGAGACGAGACGAGTCCAAATGAGACGACACTTTTTGAGTCGACACGAAAAGCGGTCTTAGTCGACACGTTCTGCGGTGTCAGTCGACACCGCCCTGTGATTCTTTCCTATTGTATGATATTCTGTTAATATCTCGACAGCTCACTTACCCCTTTTAGTTCCAACAATTATGTAACTAATTAGGTAAGTTTTAGATTTTATGTAACTAATTGATTATCTTGTAATCCTATAAATATCTCCTAATATCAATGAAAAATGTTATGCCATTATTCAGCAATTTCAATATTCTCACATATACAACACTGTCTACAATCAAGAGTTGGTGCATTGCTCCCTATGCAAACATTAAAACAGAAAAATAGATATGAAAGAAAAAAATGGAATGCATACAGAAATCTCAACACCTGACCTTACGTTTTGCAAATTATTTTAATACGGATGATTTCGGTCTAATTATACTTTCTATCGAAAGAAAGATGGTTGAGCTCATCCAAGTTTGTTAAGCTATCAATTCACGAATACAACATGGCCTCAGTTAGTTTCGTATCTATTTGGTGGTGTTGTAATCCCAGTGGATTCAGGTCTTCCGCAATTAGGTGGTCATTGGAGAGGATTCAATTTTCTTAATTCTTACAGTTTACCTCACTTGCGATGGATGAAATCACGCCGTGTAAGGTTGCCGCCAGTGGTTTTGACTAATTGGGTTTCAAGTTTACTAGTAGTTTTTAAGACCGATGTGTTTTTCAAGATAACAATGAAAACCTTATATGACGTGATCTTATCTATCAGAAAGTGATATGGACTGTAATAATCTGAGAGAATTAAATATTTTTCAATTACTACTTAATTACTTAATTGGAGAGGATTTGGATCCAATCTCCGTTCATAACAATTATAACCGTCAATCAAATAAAAATCTACATCCACAATCCAAATGGATTGTTCGCACAGCTGTGAACAGAAGTGCACGATCGCTCAGTGTATCTTTTACTTGTTTACTGCCGTTAGAGAGAGATCCTTTACATACTCCCTGTCGACCCTTTTCAGTTACGGACTCCCCGAGATTTTTGGGATTCCGAAGAAAGCTAAATTTTTCTTCTTCCTCGTTCAAATGCTCTCAATCCAACATCAGCAATGAGAGGCTGCACATCTTGCTCCGTCGACGACGCCCTCATCCCTTCAGTCCAAGGCGCCGTCACAAACATCTACACAACCGCCTCCCACACAAAGAACCTCCGGCCGTCATTCAAACCTCACGTGCGTCGAAACTCGCGACGCGGGCCACCGCCCTCGCCGTGGCCGTCAACAACAAGCCCATCGCCACAACCGGAACAAGAGGAGCTTTCTCCTTCACCTTCGGCAAGAACTCTGTCGTCGGCGTCTGCTGGGACTTTTCAGCTGCCAAGTACAGTCTAGGCCCCGAGCCAATCTCAGATTTCTACGTCGCGGTAATATTCAACGACGAGTTCGCTCTTCTAGTCGGCGATAGGAGTAAAGAATTCGTCGACAGTTTCGGGTGCGGCGATAATCCGATTGCGGATTTTTCGATGGTGAGCCGCACTGTGAAGGTGGTAGGTCGAGCGATCTACTCGACAAAGGCTCGGTTTTACGACGAAGGGAAGGAGCATGAGATTATGATTAAGTTTCAAGGGGAGCTGGAGTTATCTATGCACGTTGATGAGAAGAAAGTGCTTCATGTTAGGAGATTGAGGTGGAATTTTAGGGGGAACGAGACTGTTTTTGTCGACGGGTTGGCGGTCGATGTGATGTGGGATTTGTTTCCGTGGTTGTTTGAGGATCCGGCTGGGTGCGCGGTGGTGTTATTGCGGACGAGAGCTGCGGCGGGGCGGCGGGGAGCCGACTGTGGTTGGAGGAGGAGGAGGAGCGAGTGTACGAGGGGTTTTCATTGTTGATACAAGTATCACAATAGATTGATTATTGGAATGGTTAAAAGTGTGGTCGATCCGGGGATTGTTGTTCTGTTGATATTGATTAATATAGGATTCTCCATGTATTTTGTGACATCAGAAAATTTTACGAATATGTAATACAATTTTGGATTTAGATTATGGGAGAAGATAGATGTTGAGAAAGTGCAGCAGAGTGCTAGTTGTAGAGATTTTCTGGAGGTGTAACTTGCTATTCAACCTACCGCTACTGACTGATACTAGCAATTACTGGGAATAAGCCATTTTATGAACTTAAGTTCTTGATTAAGATGTCAATTGTATCCTTATTCTTCTTATATCAAAAATTTTAAAATTTTGGCCCATGAGAATTGAACCTGGATTACTTTGCAACGAAGTCAAAGATCCTTGTCTCCATGCAAAACCTCTGAATATCAACAACGACGACAACGTTTGACGATGGAGATGAAGAGAAATCCAACAGGATTTTCTTTTTTGATTAGGGGACATAATCCATACATAAACTCTGCATGCTGTCATTACATAGTCAAGTTTTATCAGATTTCGTGACGAAATGTATCAAATGTAAAGTTTGTAAAACTCAATGTATCTTTCTTTTCATATTACAGATATAAAATTCAGAATATTTATCTCTGAATATATGAAGCTTTCGGGTGTTTATCTGCAAATAACCAAAAAGAGAAGAGAAAAGGAAGAGAAAAACAAAGAGGAAGAAGAACCGTTCAGGATTTTTCCTAGTGAGCAGTTGTCTGGTAGCGGGGGAAGTTGTAAACGAGACTTAACAAAGAACAGCCCATCACCACGAGCTCAAAGAAAACACAGGTCGGCAACAAACTCCTCCCCTTTTTCTCTCCTGGCCAGTTCCCACTCCTGACTCCCCCCTCGCAAAATTTCTGCCCACGACAGGAGAGAGAATGGCCAATCTCCCACTCAACTTCTCTCATGCCCCAATCAAAATTTCCTCTCTCACCATCAAAGCTTCATCCAATGGTTCCCTGCTATCTCTCTGCCATTATTTTGTCAATTTGGTCACCTGTATTTGTTGTTGGGCTTTAAAGTTGGTTTTGGGTTTCAGGGGTTCCTTTCTCAAAGCCCAAATCAGGAGGTCTCGTGATTCTTGACATCCCACTGGACAAAATTCGGAGGCCACTTATGAGAACCAGAGCTAATGATCCCCAAAAGGTGAAGGATCTCATGGACAGCATAAGCCAGATTGGCCTCCAGGAGCCTGTAAGCTTTCTTTTTTTCAGATATTGAAGTTGGGTCACAGACTCCTCTCATGTGAGTGAGTTTTGTTGATGAATTCATTTGATTAGCATGTACGTAGTCCAAATTGTTGGTGGATGGCTTGGGGATTTTATTGTTTGTGCTGATTTCATGAGCAACTGTATGTTATATGCTTGTGGGTGTTTGCAGTTTTGAAGATATCATCAGATTTAGATTTGTGTTAGGATTGTTATGATACTGAAATTGAGGTGGATGTTGTTAATACAAACACAATTATACGGCGGAGCCCGAGAAACCTTCTGAAGTTCTTTGTCTATACAATTGATGATCTTGAAAGGAAGAGTTGATAGAACATCTGTACAAACATCATGCTATATGGATCCAGATGCCGCAGGACCATCGTGAGATACCTAAAAAAATGAGAGTAGCCCAATGAGATTGGAATGGATGTTGAACAATTCAATTGAATTATAGTAAAATGTACGAGTTAGAGCTGCCTTTAGTTGAGTATAAGATGTGGTAAGAGTGTCTATAGGAGCTAAAAAAAATGTGATTGTAGTAAGTGAAAAAGATAAGAGGCTTTCAAGTTTCAACCTAATAGAAAAGGTGACCCTTATCAAAGCTAGGGGAGAACAGTGACTTTTGTAGCCAATCTAAATTTTTTTGGCATAACTCCTTGTTAGATATAGTTAAGACTTTATTATTTATTTTTCGTATTGTTGTTGAACAATGCAAGTTCGTAAATTAGGTAGTACCAGCGAAGATCATTTATCTTTATAACTTTCTAGATCATCTTGCATTCTTAGTTAGATTGGAACAAATTTATTGACTTCAAAAAAGTTTGGTTTTCTATTTTTGTAGTCATACTGGGGCTAGGTAGAAGTTTAAGATGATACCATTCCTTTCAGGTTTTGAGTATATATGGCTACTAATCAGGACCTTTAGGTAATGATGCAAATAGGTATAAAAGATCATGATGAAGAAGCTTGCAGCTTTTAGGAAACATGGATCAAAGGAGGAGCTTCTACCCTAAGTCTTACAAACTCATATTCGGAGGGTAAAGTGGAATAAAATGAAGGGAAATGTTCTTAAAGAATCATTCCATTTGAATGTCTCTGTGCACAAGTTAGTGTTTATGCATGTCTAAATGGGATCCTTTAGCATATTGAATTATGTATTAGGTACCTGGATGCAATGCTTAACCATATTGTATTTAGCTTTTCAGTTGCTATTTGGGCTTCTAAGGTTTGGGAGACGAGTAAGAGGGGTCTTTGCCCTTTGGAAAGTGATTGATTAGGTAGGTCTGAACATTCAATTTGTTACGAATTGGGGGTTTGAGATTCAAGCATGGAGGAAAGAGCCAGTTTTTACTCTTTTGCAAGGTTGAAGCTCTCTGACTTGTAGATCCAGTTTTATATAAGCCTTGGAGTCATAGGTTGTACCTTTTAGTATGGCAACTCTTTTTCCTTGAAGAGGCAAATTAAGTTATGTAGATACTAAGCCCATCCTGAATAGGCCTATTAGCTTCATCATACTCATTATCCTTTATTTCACCGCTATAGGTTGGATGGAAACTTGCCTAGGGGAGTTTGTGAATGGCAGAGTTGTATGTTATTGCTTATAACTGATGAAAAACTGGGTTACTGGGGGGAACAGATGAAGCAAATATGTTAAACGGGCATGAGAAATTATGATCACTTCCCAAACGAAGAACACAGTTGCATGCTTTTGTGCTAATATCTCACTTATCTTTTCTGCCATCAGAATTTTCTAAAATTGTTCTGGTGCTAGTTAATAGATAAGCTTCATGCTGCCACCCAGTTATACACTATTCTCATTTGGGGTAGTTAGCATACTCAAAAACCTCTTCCTCCTTGGATGTAATTCCCACAAAGATATGCTGAGTCTTTATCATGCATCTGCACCATGCTATCTAAATGTTTCACATATTTATCATTCTCCAGGCCCCTGTTAAATGTTTTTCCTCAAAACTGTATCAGTGGAGAAAATCTTCAAAGTCTTAATTTTAATGTATTTAGCGTCTTTCAAAGTGCATCTCTGCACCATGGATTAATATTAATTTTCAAATAAATTTCATCAGATGTTAGTTATATGAAGTGTTACAAGTATCATTTTGATTTATTGATTATCGTGCAGATTGATGTGCTGGAGGTCGAAGGGGTATACTATGGTGAGTACTTGTTTGAGCTATGTCTGAAACCTGCACAAGCAGATGAAATACTTCCTTACTATTCAACCACTTAACACTGGATTGAAACATTCAATCTCTTGTAGGGTTTTCTGGTTGCCATCGCTTTGAGGCACACCAGCGTCTAGGTCTTCCAACAATTCGCTGCAAGATTCGACGTGGAACCAAAGAAACTCTAAGGTCAGTTTCCCTATGATATTTCGTCTATTTCACCATCATTTATGTTTCACACCCAGCAATGTGGTAGCTTTACAAAGTCTCTCAACGCATTTGTTTCAGGCATCACATGAGATAAATCATAAAAAGAACAAAGAACATATCAGGTCCTTGGTGAATCCATATATACAGTGTATCACTTGATGCATCTGGAAATAGGTCTAGTAACAGATTTCTATATACATGTATACGTTTTATAAAATGTAATTTCATCTTGCTGAGCAACGATTTGGATGTATAATCAGTTTAATCGTCAAAATATGCTCCGACAAATATTTCATGTTAATTAACGAGCTGCCAACCATGCTGTATGACATGTTTTTTTCCCTACTTTCAACTCCATTTTGTTGCGCTATGAAAATACAAAATACAATCCTTTTTGTGATAGAAAATTTACAATATTTGACAGGATCCGTTTGGAAAAGTGGAATATATATCATAGAAATCCAAATTGATATTAGGATTCGGATACAGAAACTCGATAAGTACAGAGTAACATATTCGACAACGCCATAATCATTATCCTCTCAAACTCCAAAAACTCCCTTATGCTGCTTCTCTCGCGTTCTCTCTCAACTCTCACGTCACGACCTCATGGCGTCGTCACCAGAGTACACGCCGTTCATCTTCTACTCTCCTTCATCGACCGACTACACTCCCTCTACACCAAACTTCTGTACTCCGTCGTCATCACCCAAGTACATCCCTTCGTCACCAGAGTACACTCCCAAGACACCGAACTTCTATACTCCGTCGTCATCACCAGAGTACACATCCTTTCGTCACCGGAGTACACTCCCTTGACACTGAACTTCTGTACTCTGTCATCTTTATTCGACGACACACCTTCACCACCGGAGTATACTCCCTCAATGCCGAATTTCTGTATTCTGTCATCTTTGTTTGACTATATTCCTTTGTCGCCAGAGTACGCTCCGTCAACGCCAACGCCAAACTTCTATACTCCATCATCGTCGCCTAAGTGTATTCCGTCATCTCTGTTCGAGTACACCGCTTCATTGCCGATTACACACCGACTCTGGACTTCTATACCCCATCATCTACGTTTGGGCATACTCCTCCATTGCCGGAGTACGCTCCATCAATGCTCGGTTACTATACCCTGTCGTCTTTATTCGAGTACACTATTTGCTGCCCGACCGCACGCCCTCCACACCGGACTTCTATACTCCGTCTGCAGTCGACGAGTACACTCCATCGCCCCTCTGAGCATTGTCTCCCGAGTACACTGTTGGATATTTTATTAAAGAAAAGACAATTTAGCATGTTTTACATATTTTATTTTCCTCAGCAATTAATACGTGTATAATGGCTATATAATTATGACGAACGTTATCGTATTAATTACGGGTTTATTGCGTAACGATCGATATTATGGCGTACGTTACTGTATTGATTGCTAGGATTTGTAACGGCTCTCTAAGACCCCTATATAAGCAGCCCTTCACATTCTCGGAAAAACAACAAGAAAAACAAGTCTCTTCTCTCCTCTTCATATTATTTCTTCATAGTATTGGTTTTGTTTTTGGGCAACTTTCTTCATCTGAGCAGAAGATCTGTACTCTCGCCCGAGTACAGAGGCCGGCCGATTCCGAGGGTTTTTACCACTAGGGGAGAGGGGATCATCTGCGCCAGGGCGATAGGCGGGTCCTTAATCTTCTAGGGCAGTGAATACACGACTGCTCCCGATCAGACCAGATTTAATTGTTTATTTTATTCGGATTTATTTCATGCTATAATCTTAATCATTTGATAAATTTCCAACAATCTAGAAGATTGAAAAGTTTATAGCTTTTGTTTTAAATCAGGGGAAAATTTATTATTTTTAAAGTTACTGTTCATTGGAATAGTCTACTGCTCATCCGAAAAAAATTCATCTTTTTACTGTTACTGTTCATCTAGATCTATTCATATATTTGCTGTTAACATTGTTTAAAAAAAATTGTTTTCGGTTACTGTTCACCCAAAAAATTATTGTTCATATTATTTCAGTTATTTTTCGTTAAAAAAAATTCTTTTCTGGTACTATTCACCCGAAATAGTCTCTGCTAATTATTTTTTTATCTTTTGATTAATTAGTTGTTGTTTTATTTTAAAATATATATATAAATAATTAAAAGTTACTGTTTATTTATTTTTAAGAACGTCGCTGTTCATTTTAAAAAGAACATTACTGTTCATTTATTTTTAAGAACGTTACTGTTCATTTATTTTTAAGAACGTCACTGTTCATTTATTTTTAAGAACATCACTGTTCATTTATTTTTAAGAACGTTACTGCTCATTTATTTTTAGGATGTTACTGTTCATTTTAAAAAAACGTTATTGTTAATTTAAAAACAGTTTTAATGTTCATTTTATTTAAAAAAAATCTACTTAATGCTTACATAGAGCACTATTCATCAGAGAATTATTTTTCTTTGTTCATAAAAATACAATTACTGTTCTATGAAATTTTGGTTTCTAAAGCCTATTTTATATATGTAAGAATCCTCTAAAACCTACCCTTCTCCCCTTGTGCCAGTGAATATGCACGCTTTTGTAATGTTCAATGAAACATGTCTAAAAAATTTGTATCTGTGTACTTATTTATTCTTGAAAGCCTCATATACATGGTTTTGACAAATGAACAAAATCTGGATATATATATATGATTTGAAGTATTTAAATTTTTTTCATGGTTTAATGCCTTCATTTCTTTAAGCTATCAATATGGTGCCTTCTATTAATAATTCCATACTTTGGAGTGTTTATGCATCTAATAAGCTTAGTACAGAAGGTGGTAAAAGTGAATGCAAATTTGTTCAGCAACTTGTGTGGCAGTTGTCTGCAGCAGATGGGTTTTTACTCTCAAGACATGAAAATCATGAGGTTCAAACATCAATAGGAAATATTTTAAAGTTTCTTGTTAAGGAACAAAAACTCATTGAGTGAACCGATTCAAGTTTTCTTGGATTAGTTGGTGTCTAAGGTAAGGTTTAGGGGTTGCGTAACGCGCTCTGCAAGGAACGAGGTACTTAATTGATATTTGATCAACCTCTATTACTATCCTTACCTAGCTAACTACCTGGGTAAAACTTTAATCTTTTTACTTTAGGAGTTTTTGGTTTGGAATAAGAGGACCGGAATTATGAGAAAAATTCATATGCATTTATTTAATTACGCTTCTTGCATCATATATTGCCTAATGATAAATGATCAATATATAAGCGAACCAAATCAAAGAGGTGCATCTTTTAAAATTCTATTTTATATGGTGGATTATATTTCAAATCTTCAAATGTAAAGTTCATCTCTTTTATTGCGTTATGATGGATATTGCAATAAATGTTCATATGTCCTTTTAGAAAACTTGCATTTGTTACATTATTAATTACAATGTTTTATGCAAGAATACACTTGTAAAATTTAAAGCACGTATGTACAAATATTATTATTATTATTTGTATAAGAGGTGGTACTAGAAAATAGCAACATAAATTTGGAAGGTCTCTTTTATTATTATTTGTATAAGAGGTGGTACTAGAAAATAGCAACATAAATTTGGAAGGTCTCTTTTGTAGACAACCAATTTAAATTTGGAAGGTCTCATTTGTAAAATAGCAACATAAATTTGGAAGGTCTCTTTTGTAGACAACCAATTTAAATTTGGAAGGTCTCATTTGTAAGCAACCGATTTAAATTTGAAAGGTCTCCTTTGTAGGCAACCAATTTGTAACCTCTTATAAAAAAAAAGAATTTTAAAAAATTTATGCATATGAATTATGAAGTATGAAATATATTGTTCTCTTGAATGCTCTGCATGTATCTATTATTAATTTCATTCATGTATGTGCATATGCATAACTGCAGAATTTTAGTTCCACATTAATTTGAAATGTTCAGATATTAAGGTCAAATCCTAATCTGCACAAACACTATGTGTTTACATCTTCAGACATAGACTATGATCTTTTATGATCATAGATCATGACCTAATGTCAATTTCAAACAATATGATGGACTAATTACAAAATAAGAACTTGATAAATAAATACAACGCCTGCTAGGCAAAGTTATGATTCTAGACTTTGTAAAGTCTGTGAAAAGAATCTTGATGACCCTTTGACTAAGGGATTATCCAGGAGTGTGGTTCTGGATTCATCGAGGGAGATGGGGTTAAGCCCATAGATGAGGTCACTGACAGCGGCAACCCAACCCTTATTTGGAGACGTAGTCCCAATGTCGGTTCAATGTGGTAGAAACAAGCTGGACTAGTGACACTCGTGTGGACGACCCAGATATATTCATATATCACTATGTAGCTTGTGCTACTACCCCTTCTCTATGATGATGATGCTCTTATGATACAGCTGGCTAGGCTGAGTTTTACTCTTAATAAGTCCAACGTGTGTATTATGGGGGGTATTAAATAAACAGCTGTAGTACCCTTTGAGTACTTACCTACGTGAGAGGAACCATGATGGTGGCAGTTAGGGGGGGCTGGGCTAACCCCTAGAAACTCTCATGAGTCGGTTTATTTTGAGCATGACCGTTAACGCTCAACCCGCTTTGCTCAATAGATGAAGCGTATTGTGTGTGTTTTCATCAATACCTGATTAAAGGGGCCTAATTCAAGGCCTAGTCCATTATGTCCCTCAGGTGGCGATGAACTCACTAAGGAAAGGTTCAAAGCCGAAAGCTACCTCTCCCGAATTCACGATACGAAAGGTTGCCCAACCTATATTTGTTTTATGATTTCTTGATTTATTTATTGATTATTGATTACTGAGTTTTCAGTTAATATTGCCTTTTGGGGGGGACTGTTGGATATTTTATTAAAGAAAAGACAATTTAACATGTTTTACATATTTTATTTTTCTCAGCAATTAATACGTGCATAATGGCTATATAATTATGGCGAACGTTACCGTATTAATTACGGGTTTATTGCGTAACGGTCGACATTATGGCATACGTTACTGTATTGATTGCTAGGATTTGTAACGGCTCTCTGTAGGCTGTCTAAAAATCACAATGAATAGCTGACCCCTATCAAGCTCCGACAAGGGAAGTCACAATCAGACGACTTTCTGATCACTGCATCCGCAACTCCACAATCACCACAAACACGACCTCATTTCTGAGATGATTGATCTTGATAGCTGCGACAACAGCACAGCTGTGGGCAAATATTCGTCTTCAAGACACTATGGATGTTGATTCCCGTCAAGCTCTCACAATGAAAGCTATAATCAAATAGCTTTCGGGTCGACAATCGAAAGCGGCAAATAGAGGACTTTTCACATAGATCGAGAAGAGTTACAATTCAACGAC